GTGTGGGTGTGTGTGTGTGATTTTTCTCTCTTTGTCTGTCTTAGCCCCTTCGCTGTTCCTCCATTTTCACCTTTCTCACCCCTCCCATCCCCCTCTCCCCCTTTCTTGCTCCCCTCCTCTCTCTCTCTCTCAGTCATTCTTTCGTGGTGTGCGCAACGAAGTGCTCACATATATGCGAGTTCGTGCCACGCAGGCGCGCGCTTGTGAGTGTGTTTATGTGTTTGCGTTTGCCTGTGTGTGTTTACATTCATTTGTGTTTATGTGTGTACGTATCTGATTGTGTGTGAGTGTGTGTGCGTGTGTGTGTATTTGTTTGTTTATGTGTGTGTGTGTGGGGGGGGGGGGGATTATGAGGATCATACACCTTTATATTTGTAATGTCTTGATGTACTCGTACTAAAGGCTTTTGAAAGAGAGAAAAGATAACAAAAAGCTTTTCCAAAACAAAATCGCCTAAGCTTAAAAGATTGACTTAGTCCTAGACGGAAACAATTAGAAATATGCTATAGAGTTCTACGCTTATGTGAACAATAATAATGCAATCACTAAACTGTCGACACAGATAATAAATAATAAATTAAAACAGTAAGAGTAATATTTCCCCAGGATCATCTTTGGTCCTTCATCTCCCCCCTACAGTTCTTCTGAAGATTTTTTCCTCCTTGGCTCCAGTGGTCGGGGGGATAGTGGGCTCAAGCTCACAAACATTGAAGCAATGTCAAGCGATGTCGGTGGCACGGCTTTTAGGGGACTGGTCTCCCGGGAATCTGGCCTTTAACAAGACACCACAACCCAAGCTAAAGCCTGCATTGATGTGCTACTGTGCGTTATGTGGCGTTGATATGATCTCTCAGAATTTGTTTTATGTATGCATTGTACAGTGGTATAGATGTCATTGCAGCTTTAACTTATCTACAGGGGAATCAATAAAAGTTGTACTTTGGTGACGTATGTAGAAAGTATTGTTCAGTCCCAGTCTGTCTCCCCTGAAAAATGTTCCAACAAATAGATTTGGCATTGGTACTACAGAAGAGTTAAAAAATATAACAGCGTAACAGTAAACGAAGACAACAAAGTATTGTTGTGGAACGGGCCTTCGATAGACCTAAGCCCTTATTGAAAGAAAACAGAAGCACATAATAATAATAATAATAATAATAATAATAATAATAATAATAATAATAATAATAATAACAACAACAACAACAGCAACAACCACAACGACGACGACGACGACGACAACAAATATTCATTAATATCAGAACGTTCGACAAAACACGCGTGCAGTTAAAAAAACAACCATGACCTTGTATCTCCGATAACCAGTTTCACAGAGTTTCGGCATTTATCAATAATGAAATTTCTACCCCTTCTCATTTTTTGCTTTTCAGAGCAGAGGGTCATGGGAGGCCAAGGGTCAATGTGACATGAGGACAGACATAGCAATAAATTAATGAGCGCAGATAGAAGATGTTAAAAATAGCGCGGTCTCTGAGGCTATCGCAGAATCTGTAGCCGGGATATCTTGGAGAGGAAAACGCCTGTCAGATACAAGGAGTGACAATTGTGCACGTCCCGAGACTGGCAGGGAGGAACTGATACGGCCTGTGTATAGGCACAGGGCCAATTCATGTGTCGATTTATGTTTATTTTGACAAGGAAAGAAGCGATGGGTTATTTAAGGGTTGAGATCAACATCAAATTTTCACCAACTTGATGCATGTTGTAAAGAAAATGCACACGATCCTTTCCCCATTTTTGTCTTTCTGCTGGCAGACACTTCGCTCGTGTACTTGCAAAATAAATTTGAGATTATCATAACAGAGAGAAGAAAAAAACACAAATCTAGATGTTCTGTTTGATCAAATAGATACTGCTTTCAGACTGTTATACCAGAGAGATCTGAGTGAGAGATGGAAGGAGAATTGGGGTGAATGTCGTCTTCGCTCAAAGAAATTTCGTTTCATTCTGTCCGTGAATGAAGGCAGTCATTCATACATGGCAAAAGACCATCGCACTAGAGAGATTTGAGTAAGAGATGGAAGATCGGCCGTTAGGGCATTGGAATTGAAAACGAGGCATCTTTAGGGTTAAAATAAAGCGGGGACAAAAAGACGTGTCTTCTCAACGCAAGGCGCAAGCCAATAACGACAATGACGATAGCAAGTACGACAAGAATATTATATACGAAAAGGGGCAATTAATTTTTTAAAAATAAATCAGCCACGACTAAAATTAGACAGCAGCGACTGACGAGCGTTGGTTCTTAAGACGTTAGTCGAAAAGGTTTCATTAATTTAAATATTGGGACTACAACCGCCAAACTCTTCCTCATTTCTTAACACCAACGACTCGACTTTCTCAAGGGGTTGTATTCTATCCTGCTTCATTACATCCATCCCTCCTGTTCTCTGAATTAGCCAATGAGAAGCCGCGATGCCGAGAGAACACCCCCAGTGCGCAGGTGAGGAACGAGGGAAAATCATTATTGGAGACTAAGAGAGAAACGAAACAAAACGAAAAAATTGGACGTGCGTTGCAAGAAGCAGGTTGATAAAGCTGTTCGGAGAGTTCGGGAATTGGGGTGAGTGTCGTCTTCGCTCAAGGAATTATTTCGTTCCACTTTGTCCGTGAATGAATGTAGTCATTCATACATGGCAACAGTGATGCAACAGTCAGAGGGTATTGTGCCTTCGAAATGTGGGACAAGTTCTTGACCAGTAAGTGCACACAATTATTTTAAACATAAAACTTATCATTTCTTGAAACCAAAAGATTTTGGAGCAATGTGAAATGTGCATATGAGACACTCACGAACGAAAATCATACATTCTTTTTTTATATCGAGCGTTCTAGCTTTTTATAGCTGTATCAAAGATCATCCGGTTACGTAGGCGTTAGACAAGCCGTGCATTTTGTTGGAAGATACAAAAATTCAAGAAAACTAGACATAAACAGCAAAAAAGGTCACAACAAAAGAAGCAAAAATCTACAGTAAAACAACAGAAGCAAATGTTGCGTAAACAAGAACAACATGGTAGAGAGGGCAACAAAGGAAGCCCATCCAACAATAACAAAGCAACAATAAATATACAGACTGCGCCAAGCCACAGTCAGTCAAGAGTTGCATACACACAAATATTATATTATTATGAGTAGAATTATTTCTAATAGAAACCTTCGATTAAGATATGGATTTGAAGCTGACTAGTAGCCGTTTTCTCAGCACTCGTTCAGAGGAAAGGTTTTAATGTACATGTAATTCATTTCTTCCTGTCGGAGAAAGACAATAATGGTTGGATTGGTTTCAGAATAACCTTAACTGAGTTTCCAAGTAAATAGTGAACTGACGTCAACAAACATGTTCAAGGAATCAGGAAATAGGTCCAGCATGGCTTCTTTTTATCTTTTTGGAAAAAGGTATGTGTGTGTGTGGGTGGGGGGGGGTATTTTGATTGTTAATTCGTTTATGCGAATCTGGTCATTCACCTTTGTTCCCTGATAGTGTATTCTTAGGCAGTTTCCTCAGCATCATAATAAATGTAAAGTGCGTGCTCGCCGGAAACCTGCTACGAGAATAGGTATCTTGTTCTTTTTGCATGTTGACACAGAACACACTTTTTACAAGCACAAGCATTTCTAAAAGGTAAAAGCGCGGAGTGCGCAACAGTACAAGAAGCTCACAAAGGACATGCTTGTATATTGTAATTATAAAAATAGGAAGTAGTACTGCAAATAACCTGCAATAAGGTCTCAACTACGTAAACAACGACAAGGTCGCATGATTTCAATCGTTTGTTTTCCTTGAAGTTTTATGTCCTTGCTGAAACCAGGAAAAGTTAATTTGAAGACAGGGGGCTTGGGTCTCTAAGTGGGACTCGTGTCGAGAAAACATGTTTTAGTAGTAGAAAAGGTGAAAAAACCCTGCTTCTATTAGATCTAGAATTTTAACCTTCAACAAACGTGAATCAGTTCGCAAACTGAGGATTCCCTAGCCAGTTCAGTACTTAACAATACAGACGTTACTGTGCGATTTTAACAACCTAAGAGACTTTGGGAAAATACATGTGTGGTATTGTATATGATGTATAAAAAGTATTACGCTTCGCAAGCAGACGGGCGAACCACGACTGACAGCGCCCGAGTGGAATCATAACGCCAGTACATGTAGGCCTACATCTTTTTGCTGAGAATCTTCCCCGTTTTCCTTGAGTGGTGGCGTTGAAAATGAGCGTAGCGCCAAGCATTTTCGCTAGCCGCTAGCCTGTTACCTACGTCCCGACCTGACTGGGCTGACCCGCGAGCAAAGCGGTTAGGTATAGTGCAGAACTAATCTAACCTCTTTGCTCGCCTGTCAACAATCTGACACGAGTACAGAATGTTTTTATATGACCATGTCCGGTCAAATTCCTGTCTTTCTTTTTTCTTCTTGCCCGTACTCTCGTGACCCCTGGCTCTGTCTGTCTGTCTGTCTGTCTGTCTGTCTGTCTGTCTGTCTGTCTGTCTGTCTGTCTGTCTGTCTGTCTGTCTGTCTGTCAGTCTG